GTGGGGGGGTGTGGATGCTCTGCGGGGCTGCTCCTGGCAGGTGAATCTTCCATGGATAGGTAAAGCTAACAGGCTGTCCTAGCTGGCTTGCTGCTCTGCTTTGATGTGCTGCTAGCCCATTTACTCATAGTTGTGATGGTTTTCCTTCTTGGAGAAATGCCTTTTGTCTCCCTCCTCTCCTTCTCCTCCTCCCATGGGCTCCTAGGTGAGGCAGCCCTGGTGCCTTGATGTTGCACAGCGGTGTGTTTGTCTGTGAGCTTGGCCCAGTCAGCCTCATGGAGGAGGAGTCGGTGCATGCCACCGATTCGTGCCACCCTCAGCGTTGGTGGCCGTGCCCAGCATTGGTCCCCGTGGTGAGGGGGACAATATAGGTAACTCCAATGCTGGTGGTCCCAGCGTGTGCTCTGAAGAAAGGTGGGTCCAAAGTGTCACTGACCTCAGGGTGTCTAACCAAAATATCTGCTTGGTCTTTCTTTCCAGGAGGACTCAGCGGTTTCAAGCAGAACCACGAAAACCTCTGCGATAACTCCCTCCAGCTGCAAGAGTGCCCGGAGGGGGGAGGAGGGGGTGGCGCGTCTGCTGTGCCCCCTGCACTACCTCAGTCCATCCCCACCACACCAGACATAGAGAACGCCGAGCTCACCCCCATCCTGCCCTTCCTCTTCCTCGGAAACGAGCACGATGCTCAGGACTTGGAGAAAATGCAGCGGATGAACATAGGCTATGTAATCAATGTGACCACCCACCTGCCCCTGTACCATTACGAGAAAGGCATGTTCAACTACAAGCGGCTCCCAGCCACTGACAGCAACAAGCAGAATCTCAGGCAGTATTTTGAAGAGGCTTTTGAGTTCATTGGTAATTACCCTTGACAAGAAATACTCGCCCTTTTTTTTTTCTTTAGCTGTTTTAAGACTCTAGAGTGAATTTTATGCTTCACTAAATACCCTGAAGGCCGTATTTACTTTTGTTCAGAAATGCTGAACACTTCATGTTTCTAACTCATTCTCACCTCTGGCATATCCGGTTAAGTAGCCTGGGGGTGCAGTTTTTATCCATTGATAGTAATGCCTACCTCCAGGCTTCCAAATTCAGGAAACCCCAAAAAATCAGATGCTTGTCGTCCCCTTTTCTTGATGCTTTTGTGTTCCTAGTTTCCACGGTGGCTTCCAGCCAATTTTCATAGTTACTAGTCTTAATGATGGCTGAGTCTTTCCTAACTTAATTTCATGAAAAAACTGACAAATTTTCACACTGCACTTGTTCTACCATCAGATTTATAACTTCATCGTGTATGTACAGATGAGTGGATTGTGATGAAAACTTGTACTAATAAGCCTCTAAACCCTGTAGGCTATGTGAGAGAGCTCACCACAGACATGAAGCTTTTTGGGGATGCTGCTGAAGAAATGACCCTGTGACATTACCCACATTGCTCTGAACCTCACTATGCAGCACAACCCTCAGCCAAGTTTAGGGGTGTGTTCAGCTCTGGTTGGTCACCTAGGCTAAAGCCAGATGGCCCCTTTAAGCAAGGATGGTCAGTGAGGACATCAACATGTGATACTGAAAGCTTCTGAGGACCTTCCCTCACCCCTCTTTTGCAGCATAGTGAATGCCCACTTGTGCTGGGGAAGCGCAAGTATGTGTCCTGAGAGGTTTTCTGAAATATGCTGGAGAGACCACTGACATGTAATTTTATTTTCTTGTGCTGAGGCTGGGCTAATCTCTTCACCAGTACTTAAGGCTCAGTGGTGGAGGACTAGACAAAGGAAGTGTGCTTCTGTGCTGCGTCACAGCTTGGGTCCTTAGCTGACCCCATGCTGAGGTGTGTGCAGAGCCGTCTTCCTCCCTGCCCTGAAACCTTCAATGCTTATGGCCCTTCAGTCAGGGTATGGGCACATGGCTCCTGGAACTCAAGCCTACTTGTGCTGGCTCTGTGGAGGTCCTCTAGGCCTCAGCAGGGATTGGGCTGCGGTCGTGAGACTGTGTCCCAGGGTAGTAAGTCTGAGATCAGCATATTCTTCTGAGCCCATCTGCCTGGACCGTATGCCTGGGCAGGGGCTTGCTCTGAAGCAGACAGCTCTGCAGCCTAGTCCGGCTGTGTTTTGGTTGGTGGGGGGTCCTTGTGTGCTGATGCATGCGGTCTGTAGCCATGCTACTTTAGTGAAGGTCAAGAGGCAAATAGCTGCTTCAGCTGCAGTTCAGATGGAGTGCAGCATTAAAGCTTGAATCTTACCACTGAGAGCTGTGACCAGGAGCCCTTGAGCTTGTCTTCTATAGTGTAGGCGACTAGGGGATCTTCACTTAAAACCACATTTTCCCTAGTGTTCCTAACCCAACCTCGGCTCTACCTGTAGTGCTGTCAACTCCCCAGTCTGCTGATTACTATGTGCATGGGAAGGTGAATGCCTCTTTTTGGGGTGGAGAGAAGCCCTCTCTGAGGGCAGGGAAGAGGGAACCTCACTTAGATCCTTTGGGAAGAAAAGCTGGGTGAAGAAATGCAGTAGAATCTTAAACTTTGACTTCAACAACATGGGGGAGATGCAATAGGCTAAGCTTACATAAAGAAACCACAAAGCTCTGTTGAGGTCTTCTTGGGGTGGGAGGGAGATTTCTGCATCCGGCATCCCTATGAACTGCAGGATCAGAGCTCTTGAAACCATTAAAAGATAGCGTTTGGCTTATGATCTTACCAAGGGCAGAGAAAGCAGCCTTGCTCTGAAGAAGTTTAGAAAATGTTTCAAAACCCATTTTACTTTCCTTTTTAATAATTACATCTTCAGGGTCAGTCTTTGTTTTTAATAAACAAATATTTCTCCGTTGAGAGTTTTTCTCTGTAGTAAATTTAGCCAGCTGGGGAAGTAACTAGTCAAAGCTTTCCCTTCCTCAGGGTAAGCTTTACATTGCATTTGAGAAGACTTGGAAATGTTTAAACAGCAGATCATTGGCTTATGTTTCTTTAAATACGTCTTGAAAATACCACAACCCAACCCTGGTTTAGCTAAGACTAAAGCCATAGGAAGTGAAATCATCCAAAACTCTCTGGGAAAGTGTGTCAAAATGTGTTGGAGAGTTTCAGTTTTCTGAAATACTAACTGGCAAAAATGTCTAGAGGGAAGTTGGCTTTATGTCATGCTTTCACAATACAGGTTAAACATGTATGGTGGGAAGAACCATGATCTTGGTGGAGTTGGATTCATGCCAAAACTTGCAAACTAAATTTATGCTCCTCCTGCAGATTAAAACAGAAGAAATAGATTGAAGTGTCCCATCTTGAAAGTTTTATCTCCTGTTTTTAAAAGGCAGCTGTGGGAGAGGAGGCTGGTAGGGTAGTGACTCTCCTCTTTCTCATGTTCTATCAGCATGTGGTTCCAGGGGCTCTGTCCTCCCTAAATACTACCCAGGTTGTAACCCTTTAAGTGATGTATCTTGATGGAGAGCATGTGTGTGATTGTGTGTTGTCATTTTCCCTTCCTCCCCACCTTGTCCTTTCCTCACCACTCCCAGTGAGAAGCTCTGGAGGAGTGGTGTTCAGCAGAACGTGTCGCTGTGCTCAAATCATGAAGAGACAGGGATAGCAAATCCCTTTTTCACACTGCTGAAGGTGACCAAGTCAAAATGCACAGAGCTTGATATGCAGGAAGTGAGGAGTCAGAATTTGAGGTCTCTTACCACTGAAGTGTTGCTAAGGTGTAAACGGGATCCAGCTCCAGCTTTGGCAGAGACACCACAGCAGAGTGCCTTGTTGAAGCTCATGTCAAGAGTAGCTTTGTAAAAGCCTCAAAGAATAGGGCTTTGAAACAGATTGCAGAATCATTAAGGTTGGAAAAGACCTTTAAGATCAAGTCCAACCATCAAACCAACACCACCATGCCCACTAAACCATGTCCTGGAGGGCCACGTCTATCCTATCACAATGGCTGGCACTATATATCCTGAGCTTAGAAACACAGTTTAGTTCAACTTCTTCACAGGCACTTGACAGGTGTCTCTTCATAGCATGTAGCTGGGACTGTATTGGTATGAATTGAATCTGAAAATACATGGGCTTTTTTTGAAAAGGTGGTGTCCTGCTTTGAAGGGGAGGATGAGATGCTGATGTAACACACCAGTGTTGCGACAAGAGGTGGAGATGGAGCCCGAGCTGACTCGTCGTGGGCCTCGACCTCCTAAATAAATGCTCCCTGGCAGCGCACATGAGCACCACAGCAGTGTCTCTCAATGTGCAGATCTTCTAAAAGAGATAAAAGTGAATGTGAGGATTTTCAGTGTTAGACTGACCTGTATGTGTCGCATTCAGTAACTCTGAAACCCCAAAGGAAGACGGACTGGAAGGGAAGGGGGGAACGCTGCTGTGCTTGTAATCAAATAAAAGGACTTTTCACACTAAGTTATTCTTAATTGTACTGAGCTTTTTCTAATTTACAAACTGGCAAAAATCTGACTTTCTTCTGTCTTGTTTCCAGAGGAAGCTCATCAGTGTGGAAAAGGTCTCCTCATCCACTGCCAGGCTGGTGTCTCCCGATCTGCCACCATAGTTATCGCATATTTAATGAAGCACACACGCATGACCATGACGGATGCCTATAAATTTGTAAAAGGCAAACGACCAATCATTTCCCCTAACCTTAACTTTATGGGGCAGTTACTGGAGTTCGAAGAAGATCTGAACAACGGTGTTACACCGCGGATCCTCACGCCAAAGTTGATCGGCGTAGAGACTGTTGTGTGATGGCAAAGCTTGCGAGGAGGCGGTCAATGAAGGGGTTAACCTATTCTTCACCTGATTTGGGGCAGCGACGGGTGGGTTCTGGGTTTTTCTTTTTAGCTTTCAAGGGGGGTTTTGTGGCAAACTTTTTGTGAATAAAAACCTTTTTTTGTAAGGAAAGGTTTTTAAAAGAGATCCAAGAACTTCACTGTGTCTGGGATGCTGTTGTGACTTGCTTCCCAGACATCGGCAGAGCAGGGAGGCTTCAGAGCAAAAGGAGTACTTTTTAAAATCAAAACAACAAGAAGAAGAAATACTGGGCTTTTTTTTTCCCCCTCTTTATTTTTCCCTTCTCTCCAGCTACTTGTAGAGTTTATGGCTAAGTAGTCTGTGCAGGTTCATAGACTGAAGAAACCTAAGTTGAAGATGAAACACAAACAGCCAAAGCAAAGCAGGAAAAAAATCTCCCTGAAACATAAAGGCCTTCGTTCAGCAAAGGCTTTGCTAAAGATAACCTAGCTAAACGCTCACCGATGCAAAGGAGATTGGAGCAGCTTAAAAAGGCTGCAAGGCACCTCTCACACTCCGTACTCAAACTAAAGAAGAAAAAAAAAGTTTATTTGGCGTGTTTCATGTTCCAGTTCTATTTTTCTATTATGGGGTGTAAGGTTTTAACAGTAAGGGACTTTGATCATTCTATGCCATATGCCTTCACTGGCTTCTTGTGCAATAATAATTTGGGGTTTGTTTTTGAGTGTTCAAACCAATTACAGTTGGCTGTCTGCTAGTAATAAGATAATAATTTTTAAAGTCTAATAGTGCAATGGCAGCCAGCTTGGTTCAGGAAGGATAAATGAGAGCAATTATTTCGTTCCTTTATATGATTTTGATCCTGGTTACAGTGCCATAAACCTTGTTACATATGTATATCAGAATGTACAAAAATCGAGAACAAGCAAAATTTATTTAAAAATATTTTTCGCACAAAATATTGGTGTGTTTCAGTTGTCTATGTAAAAAAAAATTTGATTATAAAACAAAACATCTTTTGGAAAATGTGTGTCCTTTTATTTCTTTAGCAATTTTCCATTTTCTCTCTGTGGGATGGGTTTTAGTTCGGTTCTTTTTGTTTTGTGGTGTTTTTGGTTTGGTTTTTTTTTTGTTGCGGTGTATATCTCCCTTTGACAAAACTGATATCTCTCGTTTGGCATCTCCTCTTCAGTGTTTCGTTCCTGTCCTCTGCTGGTGGAACACGTTTTCTTTATTTTCTACTGTACTCTTGCATCCCTCAATTTCTGTAACCGGATTTTTCTCTCCTGGAAGTTTTGGAGCTGTTCAGATGAATTGGCACTATTGGTGAGGGCTCTTCAGGACAGACCTGTTATTTCTACAGCTCAGTAGCTGTTTAGAAAAATAAAAAATAAACATTCTCCACTGATTCCTTTTCATCTTCATGCAATTAGCTTATCTTCTATGTTACAAAATTGTCCGGTTTCTAGAAATATGTTGGTCTCTTGTGTGCTTTTTCCCTGGCCTCTCTATAGCCTGCTCCTTTAGCAGTTCCATGGTTCGTGGGAATCCTCCATCTGGGATTTTCCCCTCTCTCTTGCTCATCTTCCCTTCATCTCCCTCCTTTTCCAGCTGTGTCAGTGTTAAATGTGGTATGTATTGTAGGGCTGATGTTTCTGCTTGACAGTGTCCCTTAGATGGCTGCCTTTTGCTTGCTTTGTTGGTATTTACTTTTTTTTTTAACGATATGGTATAACCTGATCTGTTCTGGACTGTTACCAACTCTAAAGTTTATTTGTATGAACCTAAAATAAGGGAAAACATTTCTCGTATGATTCTGTTGTGCAAACTGATACATTGCAGGAAGTCTGGTAGCACGGAAGTTTTTCCTAGATGAAAACCTGGATGGACTGAACCAAGTTTAAAACAGGACCTGTCAGAAAACTTCTGTATAATCACATTAGACATGTATATTTTTGTGGACATTTTACTTAAAATGTTGTTACTATACAGATATTTTCTTGAAACTTATCCCTTTATTAAATTATTTTTCTACTGGAATTGATTTTTTTTTTTTCCTTCAGTCAATATTGGTCCTTTTGCTGAGACGCCCTTGGCAGTGAGTGTTGCCCAAGTGGCAAAACCTCTCAGGCGGTGACCATTTTGGGGCAACAAGAGAGTGGCTGGACAGAGAAGTCACTGCTGGTTGGGAGCTGTTGTGCTCCAGGAGGAAGGAGGCCCCTTAGCAGAGATGGTCTTTCTCCCTCTCCCCTTTCCTGGTGTTTGGACACAACCTCTTCCAGCTGTTCTCCATGAACTGCAGGTGCAGGTTGTTTGATAGCAGGGAGGAGGTCAGAAAACCGCTTCGTTTCTTGCCAGAGAAGCAAAAGCTGCAGTGGGACTGAGGGCTGGCTGAAAAGTTGGTCCTTACAGCCTGTGTTCCTGGCCGTAAGCACTGCGTAACAGCACCGAAGCTCCACCAGGGAAGTGGGTTATTCAGCGAGGGAGAGCGTGTGAGCTGCCTACCTGGGACATGGCCCTCTGAAGCGTGAGGGGAAGGAGGATTAAATTCAATATCGGTCTTCTCTTACTACTGTTTTCTTGCTCCCGTGCTAAGTGGCCTGATGCGAAAGTCTGCAGCGGCAGGAGGGGGCTGCCACGCCGACGCGGCTCGTGGCATCCTCCCTGGTTCAGCCTCGGCTGCCACACGTGCTGCCTTGGATCAGGATCGAGTTTGCAGCCATGTAAGTTCTTGCGTTTGGTTCTTAAGCCAAAGAACAGCCCTTGCAGCCCTGAGTTAAGTTAGTGGCAGCGGAGGATCCAGTGTGTTTGCCTTGGTAAGGCTGAGCAGTGCGGCTGCTGCGTGTGCCGGCATAGGGTTTGGAGGGCTTGCTCCCCGCTGCAGAAACCCCGCTGGCCTTTGCGCTTGTCGTGGTGAGAAGTAGTGCCTAATTTTGCTCTCTGGTGTGATGAACTTGGAAATGATGGGACAGGGCGAGGCAAGGTTGTGACTAAGTGGAATTTGCTGCGGGTCTGTCAGTAGCTGAGATGGGCTGGATCAAACCCTTCCTTTTGTGTGGAGTCACTTTCGCTGGAAGTGTTCAGAAAACGTGTAGACATGGTACTTCAGGCTATGGTTTAGTGGGCATGGTGGCATTGGGTTGGTGATTGGACTTAAAATGGTCTTAAAGGTCTCTTCCAACCTTAATGATTCTGTGATCTGTTTGCTTGGAGGGGACTGCAGCTGGGCTGGAGGAGAGGAGCTTGGAGGGCTATGTCCCACTGAAGGCAATGCTGAGAAATGGCAGCCTGGGAGTCACTTCACTGGGAGACAGGCTGGGGACAAATACTGATTTTTTTTTTTTTTTTTTTTTTTCCTCCCCTCCCCAAGCAGAATTTACTGAAGCTAGTGAATGGTCACTTGAGTTTCAGACCACCTGGGAGCCCTGTCTGTGCACACCTGGGTTGGAGATGCCTCCTTTCCTGGTACCTGATATGGTGCACTGCGAATATGTGCCTGGCTATCAGTAGGAAGCTCCTGCCTGAGTATCACAGCTAACTAGGAGTTTAAGTAGACGTGGGCATTGCTTTGCCACAGAAGCCTCCAAAAAGGTTATTTCTGACTTTAAGGTCAGAACTGAGGCTTGATCACCAATCCCCTGCTCTTACCGCTGGCTGCAACACGCTCCCAGCCTCTCTGAGATGGGGCGCAGTTGAAACAAAACATAAATTGGGAAAACAATTTGATGGCCGTTGATGCATGTGTGGGTGTCGGCGAGTACAGGACCTGCTTTTCCCTGCTCAGCATCATGTGCCTGTGTGTGAGCTATGCTGAAATAGGTACGGTCCTGGAAAATCGATTACCTCGTAACTCATTTTCCATTGTTCCCCTTTGGGAGCTTGGGGTAGATTCCTGAGTGCTTGTTTCTGAGAGCGTTGCCCTTGAGACCCGGGTCTTGTGAGCAGCACCCTGAGATCCAACTTGCAAAGCAAGGCAGGGTTTTCAGAGCAAGTGCCGCTTCTGGTTGTGAATTTACTTTCTCTTTACAAACTAGGAACTCTACTGAATGGTGTGCCATCAGTGTGTGAGAGTGTTAAGACCTGCTGTAAATCTCTTAAAAATAAAGCTGTTCAATTCATTGATCTTGCAAGCTATCCAGGTTTTAAGGTTGGACTTTCAGAGCCAAGAGCGTGTTTAACTTTCCATGCTAAGTATCTCGTATGTTTTATTTTTCTGGGTCACACCAGGGACTGAACAGAGTCCTCCTTTTTGTCTTGGTAGTCGATTTTTCTGAGGCTTCCCATGACTTTACCTTTCACAAATGTTGTACTAACATCCTTTGGGGAAAGACGAATCAAAGGTCCCTCTCTTACCCGCTTGACAGATACAGGATAGGAGTGTTTCAAGATGAAGCAAATGTGTAGGAAGTGCATCATTACCTTATGGTCACAAGATCTGTCAAAGTCTCATTGTAGGAAGGTGTGTTCAAAAGCACATGCAGGAGCTGATGAAACCAAGATAGGAGGCATATGGGGTGTGGGAAAGTGCTGAGCAGACTCAGAGCGTTTTGGCCTTGGGTCCCGCTTGGCCACAGTGGAGCTTGCTCTCGGTGCGTGCACTACCTGCAGCAGGAAAGCTTCCCGGGAACTGAAGATGCTGATTCAGTGGGATGACAAAAATAAAGCATGCTATCCCTTGACTGTGTTAAGGAGGTAATCGAAGAGAGATAACAAGTGGTTGATGGCTGTCTCATTAGCAGGTATCTGCTTTCCTGTGGCATGTTTGCCTGCTGCTCTTGTAGGTACCACAGAGGAGGTTACTGATGAGCAGGTTTCAAATTATTTGAGCACAGCCTGACATCAGTAGCTGATAATTAGAGCCCTTGGGTTTCCCCCCCGAGCATGCTGCTGCTGGCAGCAAAGGGAGGTGGTTCAAGCTGTGCTGTGTTCCCAGGAGCGATCCCAGGTGCTGCCAGCCCCCGGCATCCTCCTGCTGCTGGGTGCAATTTTATCTCTCCGCTCAGTTGGCTGCTCTCTTTGCTGAGAGGTTGCTTTCTTCTGCTATCTCCTCTTGCTCTCTCGGACTCTTGTCCCAGTGGACCACGAGCTGGAGGAGCAGTCTTCTTTCTTGCTTTGATTTGGCTGTCTTCTGCATCTTTCCCAACCATGTTGTTTCTCAGACTAGAGGAAAGCAATTTAAAGCCAGTCATTTGCAAGGTGTACTGCAGCAGGATGAACATTTTCAGCCACCCTGATGGGCTCCTGGTTTGATTTGGGTATTACCCAGACAGCATCTCTCGCAGGGAGGCCAGAGCCCAAGACCTCCTTCAGCACTTTCTGCTTGCAATCTTGCAACCGCCTCTTACTAGAAACAAGGGAGGCTGTTGGGATGACAAAATTGTGTATTGCAATCACCTGCTGAGTAGTTGGTCTCTAGTTATTGCTGCCCAGGGTGGGGAGGCTTGTCAGGTGTGCAATGAGCTGCAGCAGGACTTACCCGGTGTGCAGTCAGAAATCCAGCTGGTGACTCAGCTGCTGCCCTTCTCTTCACGTCTGTGTGGAGCCAACATCCTGGAGCATGTAGAGGTATGGTCCCTTGCCTCAGAAGTTGCCTGAGCTCCTATTGAATTTGGCTGGATCCAGTCTGGCTTAAATCCTCTGCTGTGAGATGCCTGTCTGTTCAGCGTGTTCCTGGGTTGTGACGCGGGTTTGGTGGAGTGAACACATCTGTGACATGGGTTTGTCGGAGTAAGCACAGAGCCCATGAGCTCCTGCCACAGGGCTGGGCTCATTTCAGTGATGAGGAAAAATAACCCCTAGTTTTATTCCCGGGATAAGAACTGCTGTGTCTGGGGAAGGGGAGAGTACAGTACAGAAACACTTAAAAAAAAAAAAAAAAAAACCTAACATGAATCGGGGAGTAAAGCTAGAACATGTGACAAACTGTTTCTGCTAGATAAAAGCACTAAACCAGAGGTTAAATGTAATTTGACTCGTATGCCTTGTCTTCACACTTCTACTTGCTGTACCTTAGCTTCTTTGATTGT